GAATATGCATCACGGAGTTGCAGGAAAGTCGATCATGGACACCTGGCGACGAGCTTGAAGCCGTGCACGATACGTCTGTTGGCCGAGTCTCTTCTTGCGGCGAATTTCTTCATGAATGTGCTGCAAACGATTCAAAATGCGACGGTAATTGTCACCATCGTCTGAACGCAACGGCGAAAAGTGAACGTGGTAGTTCGTGAGGCCAGAGCAAACTCTGAAAATCGGGTCGTACAATTCGTTGCTCCACTTGTACTTGTAAGCAACAATACCCCAGAGAGTGTAGTGTCGACCAATCCAATTCTCAACAATTATCCGGTCTGACGCAATGCGTTGATTGTTATTGTGCATTTGCAGGGACAATCGGTTTTCTTGAGTCGCTCGGACTGGCAGAATTGCTTGAAACATATTTTGAACTCCTAGATAACCTCGATCACCAAGCACGGCCCACTCATTTGAGAACTCGTCGCGCAACGGGCAGGAATCCTCGAGATGAAGCTCATTGGGTTTCTTCTTGCGCGCCGTCCCATGAATGCTGTTGCATTGATCGAACAACTTTTTGTCGTGTACCGAACCCGGTACGTGTGCACAAACGTGCAACGCATATCCCGACGGACTCACTGACACCTCTACCTTTTTCCCGTATAGATGGTGCTTGCCACTGAAGGCAAACAAGGCCTCGTTATGGTTGCCAAGCGGTCTGTTGCTTTGCTGAAACGTTGCGTCAACTGCGAAGAGTGCCGCGGGGAAGTTTTGAAATGTCTTTCCAGTAGCAACCAAGTGGCTCATTGTACGAACGGCAACCTCGTCCTCAACAAACAATTCGTAGACGTGTTGGTGAATCTTGGACAAGAACCGTGTCATCATTTTCTCAAACGTTGGCGCCTGAAAACCAAAGAGGGCTGCCAAGAACTCCCACGTCCCTCCAGATTTGACGGTTGCCAGGAGCATGAAAAGCATGTCTTTGCCAGTTTGAGTACACTTCCGGCCTTTTCCAACATTCCAGGTACGCCTACATGAGGTTTGATGGCAAACCACAAGCTTTCAAAGTCCACAAGCTAGAAGTTTGTCATTGAGTTGACACTGTCGTAGGCAGCAAACCGATCAAAGATGGGGTGCAACGAGTCCGCTTCTTCATGGTCAGTGCGCTGGCCTGACGAGAAGCGTTCACGTTCGGTTTGGCGTCTTGAAGTGCGGCTCGCAACGGCCATTGTGGCCTGGCGAACTAGGTGCATTTCGTTGCGTTGCTGGAGTTCCGAGTTCGTTTCACGGGCCAT